TCTCCACTAAAAATAACCTGCTTCTTGTAACTTGACAAATATAAAACTGTAATCACTGAGAAGGTTGGTTTTGGGTTACTGATGGAAAAAACAGCCTTCAGGATCCTCCAGTCCTGCTTATATCAGAGCAACTGAAGCAGAAGTAGCAATATTTGATCTCCTGGCTGGCAGTGTTTTCTTAGATACCATTATTTTAGTAACAAAAATCTTTCTAAAAGATTTTTGATTCAAAAAAAGATTCAAAAATCTTTCTAAAATGTCATAATAATAATAATAATTTAAAAACTAAACACAGCTTCTTTTCAAGCAATTATCACAATAAAAAAAAACAGTTGTGGAGATGCTGGATGACTCAAGAAATCAGAAAGGGCTAGTGAAACCTCTTACCTAAAAGTTATCAAATCAAAATGGGCCTGCTTTGATTTTAATTGACGGTGGCTGTTCAGCGGGCTAAGTGAAATGAGTTTGCTAATGTAATTTCTAGGGGTAGAGGTCTTTGCTGACTCCCAGAACTCTGAATGGCTCCAGTTACAGCATTATCTTTTCACTCCTACACACCATTCACCCCAGTCAGATTTAAGGTAGTTTGGCATTAGGAGGAACTTTGTGTTAGAGCTGATTCTATCGGAGACGGCTCCTCACGAGTCCTGAATGACAAAACAGTGTCACTGCTGTCCCTCGGGCTGCACCACACACCTCACTAAACTCCCATGGTTTAGTTTGGTAACTGCCAAACAGCTGTTTCTTTCCCTTTCTAAACCAGGAATCCATTCCCTTTCACCAGGAGCACAGAGCAAAGTGGAAAAGACAACAAAAAAATAAACTCACCATAAGCAAAAGTCTCACTAAATGCTAAATGTGAGAACATCGGAAGACCTCAGAAGCAAAGAAACCAAGAAAGTAGGGTAGGTTTATATCATAGAATCATAGAATGGTTTGGGTTGGAAGGGACCTTCAAGCTCACCCAGTTCCAACCCCCCTGCCAGCAGCCGGGACACCTTCCACTAGACCAGGTTGCTCAAAGCCTAATCCAGCCTGGCCTTCAACACTTCCAGGGAGGGGGCATCTACAACTTCCTTGGGCAACCTGTTCCAGTGTCTGACCACTCTCACAGTGAAGAACTTCTTCCTAATATCTCATCTAAACCTGCCCTCTTTCAGTTTAAACCCATTTCCCCTTGTTTTGTCATTAACTGCCCTTATGAAAAGTCCCTCCCCACCTTCCTGGAGCCCCTTCAGGTACTGGGAGGCTGCTATAAGGTCTCCCCGGAGCCTTCTCTTCTCCAGGCTGAACAGCCCCAACTCTCTCAGCCTGTCCCCACAGCAGAGCTGCTCCAGCCCTCGCATCATCCTGGTGGCCTCCTCTGGACTTGTTCTAACTGCTCCATGCCGCTCTTGTGTTGGGGGCTCCAGAACTGGACGCAGTATTCCAGGTGGGGCCTTACGAGAGTGGAGTAGAGGGGGAGAATCCCCTCCCACTCTTTTTTGGATCAAGGAGAGCGTGGGTTGAGAGTCAGCAGTGCATTTTCCCAGGTTCGTGGTGATTAATTTGTACACATTGATATGGGTTTCATGTCCATGTTACAACATCATTAATTACATTTGTATCTGGCTGATGAGGAAACACACACGATCTTTTCCTCAGGCAAAAAGGCCCCACATGTGGAATGGTGGAGAGCGTGTGTGTTTGGATACAACCCATTTATAATGTGTCCAAATCTTGTAAAGTAATTTAAAGCACTAAGTGTGTCAAAATTCTCTTTAGTTGTGCATAGCTGGTTACAGAGGGAAGTTTGTTTCTGAGGTTGCTGCCATCTTCCTTGTTTCAGTTCTGATACTCAAATATCTGCCTACCTGTGGTGGGAAAATGAGTACAGCATCGCAGGAAGTTATTCAAGCAACAACAAAATAAGGAAATAGTTTACACAATTTCTACAATCTAACCTCGTACTGGGCACTGGTGAGGCCACAGCTCGAGTGCTGGGTTCAGTGTTGGGCCCCTCACTCCAAGAAGGACATGGAGGTGCTGGAGCGTGTCCAGAGAATGCAACGGAGCTGGGGAAGGGTCTGGAGCACAAGTGTGCTGAGTTCCCTTGTGGCTGAGGGAACTGGGGGTGTTGAGCCTGGAGAAAAGGAGGCTGAGGGGAGACCTTCTGGCTCTGTGCAAGTCCCTTGGAGGAGGGTGGAGAGAGGTGGGGGTGGGTCTGTTCAACCAAGGCCCAAGGGACAGGACAAGAGGAAATGGGCTCCAGTTGTGGCCAGGGCAGTTGAGATGGGATGTGAGGAAGAATTTCTTTGCTGAAAGGGTTCTGAGGCATTGGAAGGGGTTGCCCAGGGCAGTGGTGGAGTCCCCATCCCTGGAGGGATTGAAGAGTCGTGTAGACACAGTGCTGAGGGACATGGGTTAGTCATAGGGGACTTGTCAGTGTTGGGTTCATGGTTGGACTCGATGAGCTTAAAGGGCTTTTTCAATTGAGACAGTTCTGTGAACTTCAATCAAGAGCTGCACTCTAAACACTTACACCCCCATGGATTGGCCTTACACAGCCTCTGTGTTCCTCTGAGGAGCAGATGCAGTGGAACAGCCTCTATTTCTGCTGAAGGTTTAAGCTGTGGAATCAGCAGAGCACTGACCAGCTCCCCTTCCCCAGGGCTCAGCGTCAGAAAGCACTGAGCCTCCCTGCAAACAGATCGTGCAAAAGGCCCCTCACATCTCCATGATCAGTGTTTTGAACATCCAGCTCAGCTGGATCCATGGTAGGATTAAAACTCACCTGCAAGACACAAGACCCGGCATCGCCGCTCAGCTCCCCGTGAGCCCTCAGCCCCAGGACACGTCCTCCAGCATCACTGACTTGCTTTAGGCGTCTGTAGAAACTTGTATGGCACAAACTTGGAGGTTTGTAAGAAGCAGGAGAGCACATTTCCTAATTCATAACAGATGGTGGGCAGGCAAAAACTCCATCCTGGCAATCCACTCATCTCCCAACACCACTAACTTGATAAACTTCAAGTACGCATCATGAACGTTGAAAGAAGGAATTGAGATATGGGGTAACACAACATAGGGCCTGGCACAGAAAATCCTCTGAAATGAACTGTCTCCACACAGACACTGGGGCAAAAAACCAAATTATGAACTTCATGAAAACTAGAGAGTTCTGAGTAATTATTTATTGGTTATTTTGATCACTAAGCTGCAACTGGAACTCTACAAATCTACTTTATCATGATTTACTCCGTGTTTCAAATTGTTTGGCACATTTCAGTACGTATTTCTATTAAATTCAGATTATCTAAATGCTATTTCCATTTTCTTTCCAGATCTTGCTCACAATTCTCCTCCAGCCTGGACTTGCTGGAAAAATGTAGTTATTGATTGATAAGCAATAGTTGGTACACCCTATTATTAACACTAAACTTTATTTACTTATAACAGACCAGTTTGTAGAATTTTAAAATACCCTATAGGGTTGCAAATTCTATAAAAGAAATAATTTTGCATCCAATAGAAATACCAAAATAATCCAACATACAGAGTGAAAAAGAGGAATTTACACTTGTACCTTACAGGGAGATCAAATAGTTTTTATTTACTATGAAAGAAACACCGAAGGGGATTAGAAGACAGAACAATGACAAATATTTACCATTTGAAAATGCTGAAATGAAACAAGGAAAACTATTTTTTTCCACTTTTTTGTTGCAGACAAGGTAGTCTTGAAACACAGATCGCCATTTTAATGCAGGACCAAGTTAAACTAACATTGTTTGTAAAATTAAAGTGTGTTAAAATGGAAATTTAACATTTGCCTTTTACATCAGTGATCTAAAAAAAATAAGACAACCAAAGTACGCTCCATTTTATTTTTTTTTTCAGCACAGATCTGAAAACAAGGAAAAATAACACCAAATTAATTTCTTCCTTCACCCGGGGAAGCTGATGCAGGTAATTTCCAGTGAGGTATGTCCAGAGGTGGGGGGCTTATTTTAGTCTTCTACTTATTGAATAAGTTTTCTCACAGCTTTTCTAGACACCTCAGCACAAATACTTTTGTATTTTATTTGGTTGATCCCTCTGGCATTTAGTTGGATGATGGACAGATGATTTTTTTTGTTTGTAAGTACACTCAGGGTAAATTTGATATCTTCAAATAGGACTAATCTTTCATTATTTTAAAGTCATGCCTGGACAATCAACAGCTGAAAACAGTCGCTCTGTACAGAAATAGTTATGCCATCAATCTTGTTTGACAAAGATCTGTACCAGCACACACAACAATATTTATGTTATTTCCCAGTAAGAGTTCATAGAAAGCTGTCTTTTCCGAATTATCCAACATTTTAATGTGCTTAAAATTGCTCAGAAAATAATATTTATTGAAACCTGCTGAAAACTTTACAAATTTGTTTCAAAGGATAACATCACTTTCTCCTGACATCTACTCCCAGATGCTAACAGCAGTGGGGAGATGTTCGAGGAAATGGAAAACATTTCTTTCCACTGAAGCCCAGCACAAGTGAGGAACCAGGCAGGGGATGAATGTGTTGGTTGAGCAGAGCCTTTCGGCAAGGAGACTGTCCACAGATGTTTGGGATTCAAAAGCTGCTCCCGGGGCGCAGAACGGAAGGAAGAAGGGGGAACAGCGATACCGCCTGCCCAGCCGTAGCAGATGTAACAGCCCAGGGTGGCATCGCCTGTACTCTGCTGTCTACATCTCAACTTCCTTTGACAGTCTGATTTTTTCATTTCTTTTTAAACTGCTCCATGGTTATATATATATATATTTATTTTTTTTAATTTTATTTTTTCAGTGGGAGGTATAAAATTACATCTCCTTGGGCTGTCAGGTTTTCTGCACCCCAGAGGAATTCAGTATAACAAAAAAGAAAGAAAATTACACTGCTGTGGCAGCCTTCCCATCTGCGGCGGGGGGCTCAGCGATACGAGTCACCCAGCAATGAGTCTGGGAGAAGAACGGAGGATAGAACGTTCTTGTTTATTCAGATGAAATATCTATTCTGTACAACTCATACCGAGCATTAAAATCCCTCTCAAAAGAGAAAAAAGAAACCAATTTAATGGTAGGATTTCTTAGCATTCATGGAGAACTGGTATGTGATGGTCACAGCAGTTTGCTCAGGCCACTGGACTGCCCATCAGCCTCTCCTGCCGAAGAGCAATCAGCCTCTGAAACCACTTCTCCTCTGCTTCTGCCTTCTCGATAAACAGCTGCGAGACATGGGGGAGAGGAAGAAAAGTAGGCACAGCTCAGTAACTCTCTATTTGTCACCACCTGTTGAAATATGACTATTTCAATACCCAAAGAAAAAAGCCCAGCTGCACTGGGCTGTTAAAATACAAATGTAATACAAATCCATTAGTAATATCTGTAATTATTAGTAAATTAGTAAAATATGGAAAAGCCAAGACATTCCAATTTCAGTCTCCTCCTGAAACAGCAAGTTGATCATATTTGTGCAGGTCTTGATCTTCGTTAGAGATGTTCATCATACACAAATTGTATTAGTTTATTTACTGCAAGTCATTTTTAACTTGCTAATTTTAAGAAAACCTCTGCTGTAAGTGCTCCCATTTCCAATTACAAGTGCTCACAAAGGAATTGGCATAAGTTGAGCCACAATGATTTTAAATTATTGTAAGTTTATAATGTATTCAAAGCTTTCTGATTTGGCAAGGTGGGCAAGTTCTGAGTCTTCCACCAGGTTTCCCACTACACAAACCAAAAGCAATTTTTCCTGAATTTTTATTGAATAGGAATTTTTATACGAACTGGACCTTAAATTCCCCTGCATTCAATTAACATGCTACTTCCCTATAAAATTTGTTTGTAGGTCTAAAACTACATCATAGAATCATAGAATGGTTTGGATTGGAAGGGACCTTAAAACTCATCCAGTCCCAACCCCCCTGCCATCAGCAGGGACACCTTCCACTAGACCAGGTTGCTCAAAGCCTCATCCAACCTGGCCTTCAACACTTCCAGGGAGGAGCAGCCACAGCTTCTCTGGCCAACCTGGGACACTGGCTCACCACCCTCACAGTGAAGAACTTCCTAATATCTCATCTAAACCTCCCCTCTTTCAGCTTAAACCCATTTCCCCTTGTTCTGTCATTAACTGCCCTTATGAAAAGTCCCTCCCCAGCTTTCTTGTAGCCCCTTCAGGTATTGGAAGGCCGCTATAAGATCTCCCCGGAAGAGGGAGATTCACATCGCTGGTGAACAACTTTGGTTTGGAATTATTCTTTGGCGGATGATGAGAGGAGTGTGATCCTTTTAGAGCCAATGAGTGGCCCATCAGTTAATGATCTTCAGGCCACAGATTATTTGACAAAAATAATGGCAAAATGTTTGTTAGGTCAGATGAACCTGCTCCCCTTCAGCGGCCTGTCTCCTTCTAAAGACGCAGTAAATATCGACACACTTACATTTGGATGTGCTAAAGAATTATCATCTTGATATTTGATGGCAGTGGGGATATTGGCAGCTGGTGGTTCTTTTTCAGGAGCAGATACATCAGCAGTTCCTGCTCCGACAGTTACAGGTTCGCACTGTAGTTCAGGAGGCTCTGTTGACTAAAAAGAAAGAAACACATCTAAATATTTTATCCTCAAACTGCTGGACGTGGCAGTGTCTTAACCGAGCATTCAGCTTTCTTCCCGTTGCAACACGTGCCCATGAAATGATCCTCATGCAAACACTTCTCCGTGTGCTTAGCAGGAACACACTAGACATGGATTAAGGTCCAGACTAAACACATGACGTGCAAAAAAAAGTCTTGCCAAAGGCAAACTAAGGTCAAAAATAAACACATGATGTGAAAAAAAGAGGTATTGCCAGAGGCAATGAGAGAGCGTGCGGAACTGCAGCGTTGGGTTTTTGGATCACTTTCTGAAGAAACCACATGAACTTCTCGGTAACTTTTGAAAAAGCAAGAAAAGCCATGAGCTGGGGGAAACAAACAGTGATGATTCCAAACACCTCACTGTTAGATGGAAAAACTGAGCCAGCCTTTGCTTGCCTACTGCCAAAGACAAAAGCGTCTGAGTTCTCTGGATGACTTGGCAGCCAAAACACAGGTAAAATTCTGAAATCTGGATGTCTCGTGTTAGGTTTTTGGAAAGCTGTCTGAAAACAATGCTGTTTGGTTCCAGGGAGTAAATATGGTCATAAAGTCTGGCTTCAGTTAAGCAGAATTAAAAATACTGATTCCCTACTTTTAATTACAATGTAAATGTCTCATTACTTTGGGATTTTGATTATTTTTATTCTGCTGCTTTTCCTAAAAAAAAAAAATTAAAATAATAATCTTTATGGTTCCTAAGATTATAAAAGAATTTTTAAAAATCAGAGTTGCTAAGCATAGGTAGAAAATACTGTCAAAGCAGTTGATTTCATTGCAATTCTTACACATCAATATATTCTTCCTTGAACTCCACACCAAGGATGTAGGAGAGTAATCGGTGGGATTTAGGATTGTCAACATTGATGCTCTTTCATGGACGGAAACTGTATTAATAGCGCAGCTTCCACCTGACTCTGAAAGGATTATGCACCAAGAAAGGATATTGAAAACTTACCTTTTTGACTTCTTTACTTGATCTGAATGTCTGTGGAACAAAGGAGTCACTTTCAATAGCTTCAATTTCTTTTACGCGTTTCACTTGCTCTACCAGGGTGGCTTGGTCTACAAAGAGAAGGTGTAATGTCAGTATACATTAGTGTAAGCCTGTGGGAAATGCTGTGTCTAAGCAATGCCTTGAATGTATTTTACAACAGGACATACCAGGAAAAAAAAAATAATAAAAAAAAGAGCTTGTAATGCAGCCCAAAATACTCCGTTACAAAGAAAAACTCTCTCCTTTAGTAACAATAACAACAGTGAGTTGAGTTGGCCGTTATTGTTCAACGTATGATGTCATTCAAGATGCTAACTTCAGAATTTCCTAGAGATGTCCTCGCAGGGTAACTCCTCGATTTATGGCGTGAGGATTTCCTGGAGAAGTTAAGGATTTGGGGACAGTACCATCTGTCTGTAGCAGTAAAACTACTTCTGCTTGTATGGAGGTGAATTTGGCTTCAGCTGCGGATGTCCAGAGAGATGTGCCACCTGTGTTCTCCTCACAACAAGCTGTGTGATTAGTTTGGCATTAAGAGTTACATTGTTAGGTGAATTTAACAAAATAATCTTAGAATCTGGTAATAAAATATTCCGAGTGTACACACTCAATATTGTGTGCTCATACGATGCGTGGGTGACCAAATTACAGCTATTTAATCACATAAGCAAAATTACTCCTTTATTGTAGTGCGAGGCCTTACAGTGCATGTGTAATTCACAAGGTATTTTTGAATCCCAGGCTGAGATTTCATTTTGATGAAGCGAAAATGGTGATGCCATGATGAAGAAGAGGAGCTCCTGGTGATGCTAGGATGAAGAGCAGCAGCTCCTAGTGATGCTAGGATGAAGAAGAGCAGCTCCTGGTGATGCTATGATGAAGAGCAGCAGCTCCTGGTGATGCTATGATGAAGAGCAGCAGCTCCTAGTGATGCTAGGATGAAAAAGAGCAGCTCCTGACAACCTCGGTGCGAGTTGCACTAGACAGGTAACTGGGGTGTGGTCAGGTACCCTTTGCTAGGGCTTCCACTGCTCAACCAGACAATCTTCTGGATAGATTAGACTGGTAGGAAGCTACAAGCATCAATAATACAAGATATACTTCTTTTTTTAAAACTCAAGTTGCTGATGGATGACAGTGAAGTTTCCTATCACAGCTATGTTGATCTCAGGTGCCAGAGGGATGGTGTGGTGGTTTCACTCCTTTGGCTGCAGCCAAAAACAGTCGCACTCTCGCTGTCCCCCCTGCCCTGCCCCAGGGAGTAGGGAAGAGAACTGGAAGGGTAAAAGTAAGAAAACTTGTGGGTTGAGATAAAAATAATTTACTACTTGAAATGAAGTAAGAATGAACTGAGGAGCCCAGAACTGGACACAGTATTCCAAGATGTGGCCTCACCAGGACAGAGGAGAAGGGGAGGAGAACCTCCTCCATGGGCAGAAAGGTGGTGGGATGGCAGCAACGTGGGGTGGCCTTGGCTGGAGAGGGGTGACAACCGGGAGAGATGTGGTCCGAGACGCGCTGGTGCCCTGCACGCCCAGCCACCACCCCTGGAAGGTGTTTGGTTTTTGTGGAAGCCTCAGCAAAGCTTCATCTTTGGCAAAGCTTTGGACAAGAGCTGCGCTGCAGCAAAGTGTGTGAGCACGTCTTTAAGCCTGATTCTTTGGAGTTTAGAAGGAAAAGAATCACTCACTTATAATTAAGCTCGTGTTTAAAAGTTCTGCTGCCTTACTGCTAAAGTTGTCTTTCTTAAAAAAAAGATTCATAAGGATCCCATAGGAAATATAAAAACAAACATGCTAATGCCCTACTCAGGAGAGGGAATCATTTCAGGGAGACCTTCTAGTGGCCTCCCAGTACCTGAAGGGGCTCCAGGAAGGCTGGGGAGGGACTTTGGCCAAGGGCAGGGAGTGACAGGACAAGGGGTGATGGCTGGAAACTGGCAGAGGGGAGATGGAGATGGAGATGTGAGGAAGAAATTTTTTGGTGTGAGGGTGGTGAGACAGTGTCCCAGGTTGGCCAGAGAAGCTGTGGCTGTTCCTCCCTGGAAGTGTTCTCGGCCAGGCTGGATGAGGCTTTGAGCAACCTGGTCTAGTGGAAGGTGTCCCTGCTGCTGGCAGGGGGGTTGGAACTGGATGAGCTTGAAGGTCCCTTCCAACCCAAACCAGTCTGTGAGTCTATGATTCTATACTTCATCAACCTCTTGGGTCCATCTGGTCTGAGGGTAAACAAAGGTGTGGTAAATTCCTGGTCATCACGGCGTTAAAACCAGGTCTCAGCAAAAGGCAGGTGAACACGGATTTAAAATCAGTCGCTCAACTCATATCTCACAAAACCCACCATCAGCTCCCAGCCTGGCACACGAATCCCCCCCAAACCTACGGGAACGACAAAGTATGAAAGGGGCAAAAAATCACTAAATGTTGAGAATTACATCAGTGACATTAACTTGGGGAAAATGCACTGGAGGAAGCACAACCCATTAGTGTCTGGTTGGGTTTTTTTTTTAGTTGTTTGTTTTTTTTTTTTGACAAAGACATTATTGGTAGATAAACCAACTTCCATATGTTGTTTGTCAGCTGTCAGGAGAAAGGATACGTATTTCATAGTAAAATCAAAAATAATGGAGTCAGAAAGCTAAGAGGCTACGGACAAAAAAAAAATCAATACTACCTCATTGCACAGCAAGTCTTTTTATCATGTTAAGAGTGAAAAAAATCAACTAAATCTTGGATTAGGGCTTCTTGACTCTGGTTTTTATAAAGAGGCGATTCCGGCAGCAGCCACAATTACCATTCCTGTCACCAGCTCCCTCCCGCTGACGCTGGGCTGTGGCAATACCCACTGCCTGGATTTAAAAACATCCCTATTTATACCCCATAGCATAAAATTGGTGGGGAAACATTAATTTAATATCAGTTTATAGTGATAAATTAAAAAAAATAAGGATTTTTGCCCCAGTTACTCCAGGATTTAACTGGGAACGCTGCCCTTCAGACATGGTTCGGTATTTTACGCTTCCCATCTATAGTTCAATCTATTGACATCTCCCCCTAAATATATAAATACAAATAAATATATATACACACACAGACATCTTTTATAGCTGCTACTTCCATATTGAATTAATCTGTATTAGCAATAATTCAAAATGCCACTGCAGAAATAAAAGCGCATACCTCCGCTAGATCAATCCGTTAGACGCCATCCCAAAATTCCACGCACACAAGGACTAAAAACACCAGAGAACTGGATAAAATACAAAGTAACTTGCCTGCAAACCCTACATAGAATATTCCCAATTTTTTTCCCCTCAATTTTAAAGACAAAACTGGTGATGAATGCACCACCATTCATCACCAATGCATCACCTAAGAGTTTAACAAGTGTTAAAGCAGAACTGTAAAAAGAAGATGCAATTAAAAAACACCAGGCACGTGAAAAAAAAAAACCATACTCCAAAATGAGCAACTCTGGCCAGAACAAGCTTTTATTGTTAATTTGTATTCTTCAAACTTAATTGTCAGTACTGTGGTACTAGAGTTTTAACGAATTAAAAGAGCAAGTTGTAAGTACTCTGGTACTCTCTCTAGTACACTCTCTAGTAAGTATTTGAGCACTTACAACTGGCTATTTTAATACATTATAATTACAACCTAGTTTTCACAGTATTTTAATAATTCACAGTATTTTAATTATTTTAGTGTCACTGAACACTAATAGTTTTTTTTTTTTTTTAAAAAGAATGGAAATAATTCCATTAGTAATGGGTATAATTAAATAATGGGTATGAAATCAAGCAGAAGACTCGGCAGTAAACTTTAGCAATTGAGTTGTTCTGAATTTAAAAACATTGAATTTGAGCAATTTGGGAAGATTGGGATTCCTGCTCTAGCCACACATTTAACCCGCAGGTGGCTGTTACCCACACGCCTGTGCTGCTTCCCACATTCACTCACATTTTGAGGCGTTTCAGGCTATTTTTGAAAATATTCAAGGAAAAAAAGTCCAACTCTGCTAAGAAAGTGGTAGGAAACAGCCTTAATACACTGAAAATTGCTGGATATTTTCCTTCCCTGACAAAATTGCTGGATATTTTCCCTCCCTGACTAGCGGGAGCGAAAGCAGCGGTGGGTTGGGGGATCCGTGTGCCGGCCACCCCCCGCGCCAGCACCCTGCTGGGACACCACATTTGTCACCGTGGCCAATATCAGAGATACGCCGCTCTTTTTTATTCTCTCAGCACACAAAAGCAAGATATGTAATTCAATGCTCAATTTACCCTTGTCTCGTAGGAGATTTTTTTTTTCCCCCCGCTAATTGATAGAAATTAAGCCATTAATCAAGCCACCAGCCATCATTCAAACCAGGGAAGATGAATACAAACTTTCATCATAACCACCTTCCCCATTTTAGTGTTCATTAGCATTAATTTTTAATGCAATTATGCTATTCTTTTACGCTGAGCTCATAAATTACTGCTCTTTTGTTGCTCGCTGGCCTTGTAAAATCCAAGGTAATGCTTTGTGCTCTGATCTTAAAGGCAATTACCGCCGCCTTCTATCTTTTATATATCTCTATCCCAAATAACCTCTGTATTGTATGTACAAACTAACGAGCTTATATATTACGCAGACGTATAATATATAACAATTTGTCTACGTTAAACCTATCCACGTATCTATTATCCACCTTCAGATAAATAAAAGTCTTGCTAGAAGGTGCAGCGGGAAGGAAACTTGCAGGGAGGAGCGTGGTTGGTGCACAAGGAATCTGATGAGCCGCATCATTGCTACCCTGCACCACCAGTTTCTCATCTTTTTGCCAAAATTGTGTTCTCGGTGGAATTTTGCTCATTAGAATATCATTATAATGCTAAATTACACCTCCAGCCCCAAAGCCACCCACCTCCAAGGTGTGAGCACCCTTCATTGAGTGTCCACTCCGAATTTCCTCTGCTCTAGACCTTTCAAAGCGAAGCAAGGAAAGTTTACACTAATTCTACTAAAGGTGTGTGTGGCTGGAGTCACTCAAGCTCCACCTGAACGTAAGAAAATAGTATAAAATGGCC